ATTCAGCATTGTATTTCTTTGCTTTGTAACATTTAGATTGCTTTATTATGCTACACTTACATGTGACTTATAAAAATACCAACTATTGGAAAAAACAAAGCTGCCATCATAGCACAACATGGTCGGATGCATCCTTCTGTGTGAGAGATTCCACACATGTAGATAGATGAGCTGGTCAAAAGATGGGTGATGTCATGAGTTGCAGACAAAATCAACATAATGCCAGGGGTCCAAGGTGCAATCCATGCATGCAACCAGGGCTGGCCTTAGGGCTGGGCAGGCTAAACATTCAGCCAGGGTGCCAAGTTGACAAGGCCAATGAAATAAGCCTGATGGCTCAGTGTTTTCGCAGCAAACTGTTTGCAGTGAGCTGGGGACAGAAGGAAGGGATGTCTGCCTGTCTGTCTAAAGTTCTACTGCTTGCTTGGTTACCAAAAATGAAAAATAACTTCCATCAGTTAATTTTGAAATATTTTCTTTTTCAATTTTTCTTAATGTGCTGTTCTAAGGAAAACACAGTGATACATACCTTTCATTTGCTAAACAGGCAATTCTGTTCAAACCACATAACTTGACCACACTGCAAAACTGCAAAACCACACTCCATGCCTGGGGCACTGGTTTTCTAGAGTCAGCTGTGCATCCAGCACATTCAAATGAACACCTGAAACTTGCTGCCCCGGCAGGCCATTTATGTGAAGCAACTCCTTGGGAGCAATGAAACAGACTCTTTCAGGCATGTGTCATTTTTAATGTGTTCAGCTGTGAGCCATTTCTGCTCATTTTCTGCACTGGCCTCTAATGTGAAAAAGCCCACAACAAAAAATGTGCATTTTTAAATTTGCATTTCTGAATTATTTCTAAAAACACACACTTTTTAAAATATTTTGAATTAAGAACTGCATTGGAGGATTTGGGAAGTGCAAAAACAGGTGCATAGCTAATTTCTGTTCCACACACATAGGACCAGGAGATGTGGATCAGATCAGTTTATACTGGAATTCATAAAGATAAAATTCCTTGTACATCCTGAACAGCTTCCATGCAGTTTTAGCTAATTTCATAAGGCCACAGACACCTGTTTGATCATAGATGGTTGATCTTCTAGTACATTCTTTACCGACCTGGTGCTTTCCAGATGCTTTGGACTTCAACTCCCATCAGTTCCATGCTGATGAGTCAGGCATCCTGGGAACTGTAGCCCAAAACATCTCAAGGGAGCATTCTGTATAAGGACTAATGTTTTTCAACTTATTCATAAATGATCTGTAATTAGCATTAAACATAGAAATGGATTTGCTGATAACACCAAACTATTTATGGTGGTAAAACAAAAACAGATTGTGAGGAGTTCCAAAGCTGTGAGAATGGGCATCAAAATGACAAACATAGTTCAGTGTAAACAAGAGTAAAGTGATGCAGGTTGGGATAAAAAAAATCCAAACTTTAAGTATAAGCATGTACAGACCACACAAATCATCACTCCATGCTGGTGGATGTCACACAGAATGAGAGAGTAATAGCAGCTGGTACAGCTCCTGCTCGCAGTCAACAAGGATTTCTGTCCTGGAAGGAGGAAAAAATGATAGAGCAGTGAAAGGAAAAGGAACAAAGAAGAAAAAGAGGAAAATGAGAAAGAGCCATACATGGTGGTGCTTTGGAAAGACTAGGGGATGAAGAAGGGGCATTTTCTTCTCTCCAGAGTTATTAACTGTATAAATAGTATACTATATAAAGAATGAAAGAAAACAATATTTTCCATTTATGAGTTTTCTTCTCATTTAAAAAAAATTTAGCTCCTTATTAAACCTCAACTGCACAGACTGCATGCTAGAATAAACCCTAGTTAAGGGGGAATAGTGGTCAGGATTCTGCTTTGCGTTATGCCTTACCTGCTCTTTTGAAAAGCAGTCCTCTCTGAAACACTTCCTGATGCAGTTTATGTACTATCCAGAATGACAACAAGGTAGCTTCTAGGTATCATGTAACATTAGATCCTTAACATGAAATCTCATCTCAGTGTTCTTCTACTGCTTTGCCAAAAATAAACCAACATGGAACAAATATCAACCTTTACTTGATATAAGACTTTTACAATGACTCAAGCATTTCCATTGCACTTCCACTATATATCCTTCCAGACTAGGAAGAATATACTTCTGAAGGGAATAAAGTTAAGCCCCTTTAAGTATCATTGATGCACGTGGTAGGTATGTTGTGAGCAGAGCCGGCTAGAGCCGGGGGTCAGACTAGATGGCCCGGGAGACCCCTTCTGACTCACTCTGTTTCTCTGTTTCTATTGATGTTAATGGGAGAATTAGACATATAAGTGGATTCACCTGTTAAAAAGAAAGCAAACTTCTGCTTCAGCTTGGTTGGATGATAATCATCCCCTTTAAAGCAGAGATGGAGAATTAGTTTGCAGAAGGGGACTGAGAAATAGGGTTGAAGCATAGCTGGATGGTCCTTAAAAGAGCCTCTTCCAGCACAATGGAAACTGCTGGCAGAATGGATTTCCCTTTCCCAGTTTCCTCCCACTGGATATTCCAAGGGCTGGGAGACTGTCTGGAGCAGAACTGTGGCATGCTCTGTGATGGGGGAGCTGTAGGGTCAGGAGAGCAAAAAGGCTGCCCAGATGGTGTTGGATTTAACCAGTTATCTTCATACAGTTCTTCAAAAACACAATTATTAAATTCAAAAGGATTTTAGTGTTTGTGTGTCCAAATTTTGTGTTGCCAAGTTTTCTTTTGCAAAGCCACCTTCTTTCCAAAGATGGGCCCCGTTTGTAACTAGACCGCATCCCTGGCTTATGAGGTGGGGATATGTGGCTCCCCTCTACTACCCCAATCTCATTTTTTAAAAATTGCTGGGGGGCGGGGTGGCATCCAGAGCAGCTACAAGAGGCCCAAAGGGTAACCTTTAGCTTGCATGTAAAATAAATTTGATCCTTCTGGCATTCTGTAGCCACTATAACTACCATTTTTTGAAATATGTATATCAGTCTGCACCTGTGCATACAGCCTGCAAGGGGCATCCAGGGTGAAAAGTGGTCTTGGACTTTCTGCAGTTGCCCACCACTGACATAGCCAAATCAGACGGTTGGGTATAGCAGAAATCATGCTATCCTCCTCGCTATATGATAGCTACTGGGCATGTGGGCAGAATGATGAGTAATCCAGAAAGGAGGAAGCTGAAGCAGTCAGGGTGTTTACTGAAAGGGTGGAATAGCATCAAACAGGGAGAAACGGTGAATGTGCCTGTAATCTGTGCTTGAGAAGTTTTCATCCTCCTGAAATTGCCCATTTCACTCAAAGGTGAAACTGGCAAGTATCTAATAGTGCAGCTCTGGGCAGTTGTGTCTTAGTCATGTCAAATAGTGTTGATAGTGGTATAATGCTTTACTAATTTGGATTTCTGCCACCATTCATTCTGTAGAGATGAAAATCAGAGGCTTGGGTTTCAGATAATTACATGTATCTGACAGGGATTCCTTGCTGCTTATACAATTACTACTACCCCTATTACTATTTCATATTTGGCTTGAACAGATGTACAGAATATTAAAGTGACATGGTCCCTATTTAGAGACCTTACAATCCAAGACAATCACTTTCCCCTCTCCATTTTATGAGAATATTTTTTATCACACTCATCAAGCCAATTATAGTGTTATCTTCAACTGCGCTCCATTTCCCTGGTCTGCACAAACCCAACTGAGCTTTATTTTTGATAAATACATGAAACTTTTAAAACATCTGATGTATCTTTGGGATGATTTATGCTGAGCAGAAGCATTATGTAGATTGTGTGGAACTGATGACTTCTAAATGCAGTTTCTAACATGTAATAATATGCAACAAGAGCCAGTCTTACCCTTGGCAGCTGAGCAGAGATTTGTAAGGAGTGTTTTTGATAGCGCAGATGGAAGGAATTCTCCCTTACACACACAGAGCTCATCAACAGCACCCCCTCCCCACAAACCAGCCCCCATTTGGTGCTAGCAAGAGCAGCACAGCAAAGGAAAGGCTGGAAAGTGTGATGCTGCAAAGAGGGAGAACAATAGATCTTGACAATACTGTGAAAGTACAGACCTGACTAGAGCCTCTAGATCAAAAGTGAGAGAACCAGTTCGTAATACAGTAGTTGAATCCTACCACTTGCCTATTGTTCCTAGGCCCTAAAGGCAAGGGCGTTGAACCTATTTTAGCCCAACAGCCAAATTCCATTTCAGAGACGAACTGCGGTAGAGGATGTCTTGTTCTAGTAGCAGGCAAGGACAAAGACACACAGTGTGGGGTCAAAAATGCCAGCAGATTATCTTTCTGCTCCTAATGCCAGTGATAGCCGAAGGAGAACATTTAAACTGTCCAGAATTGCGGGGGGGGGGGGGGGCGGCACGATGGGAAACCACCAATGATCACAGTGATGGGGGAAGGGCAGGATCAAGGTAATGGGGTGTGAGCCCCCCCAGCCCCCAGGCCTAAGGTTCCGCACCCCCACCTAAAAAGAATAAACATGACATTTCTGAGTAGCAGATTTGGACCAATGCAAATAGTATTAGGCCACCAGAATGTGTTTTTAAAAAGGACCCCACCACCACGTAGCATCTTTCATTATTGTCAGTGACGAGCGCTACGTGCTTACCATTCAAGTAGCGATTGTGTGAAAGATACAAGGCACTCACTTGTGGATCAGTACCTTGGCCTGCAAATGTCCCCGTTTGACTCATGTACACTGTTTTCAGTGCATGTGCCATGTAAGTCTAAAGGAGCACAGTTTCCTTGATATTTTGAAGATCAGGCATATTACATTTATTATGCTTATATCCTGTTTTTCTCCCTAAGAAGTTCAAAATGACCATCATGCCATGAATATGGAGTCCGTTTCTGCTTTTCTTCCCAAGGGTTTCACATCCTTTATCTTCAAGAGTTTTCACAAAATAAGTATTTTCAATAAAAAGGCACCCAAGCTTTAAGATTATTATGAGAACATGCAAAACATAATGCTACATAGTCTTTATTTTCCTTTAACAAAATACACAAAATTCACTTATGAAGTCATTATTGTACAGGTATAAATAATGCTCAGTATTCAAGTACAATCAAGTGAAAATATTCCTACGCTTCATGTAAACACAAACTAGCTTTCTATTTCACATGCCTTTAGCTCATCATCTTTGCACACAGACCCAAAAGAAGATGTTAGACGTTGGACTGTCCCCTTTAACTGCATTCCCTCTCAAGGAAAAAGGGGTATTAGGAGTGATTAAATCTTACTTCTAGTGACACTTTTGTACTGCTTACAGTAAGTTCCTAAGCATTTTTCTCTTGTAAACTTCTAGTTAGTTAAAGTTCATTCAATTCATTTCAATAACTAATTACTGGAAAAGCCCTCCTAAGTTTCTTAAACCAAAAATTAATTACATGTCTTTTGAGTCACTTACAGCAGCCTTTGTTCAACGAGCAAATAATACTATATTTTATACCATTCATATGGAAAATACTCTGTTACTCATGTTTACATTTTTTAAAAAATAAAACAAAAAGTAAGGATACCTGTGCTTGGGTTAGACTTCAGCTAACTTGCATATTCTGAAGTGCTATATAGCTCATCAAACAAACCAATATACTTTTGCAGCACAATATCTTGTTGTACAAGTACCTGTAACACAGTGGAAATGGCAGTCTGAACTCATGACAGTGAAGACATAATTAGCTTTCGAAAGCAACCCACCTCAGAAAAAGTAACAACTGAAATAATATAGCTAATAACAATTAGGCACTTAGTCATCAGCTAGAGGTTCTTCTTTTTGGTCAGCAGGAATAGCAGGCTCAGGGTTGGCCACTGCACTGTTTTCACTCGTTGGCTGCTCTACCTCAGCAGCTGCCACAACCTTAGCACTGTGTTCTTCAGCAGGCAAAGCACTGTCATTTTCCTCAGTAGGGGGGGTAGCTTCTTCTAAGAGTTCTGCAAGACACACACAGTTGATTTCTTAGAACATAAGAAATCCATGCTGAATCAGCCCAGTGGTCCATCATATCCAACATTCTCTTCATGGGGATCAACCAGATGCCCACAGGATGCCCATAAGCAGGGCGTGCATGAAACAGCCCTCTGCTGCGAAGTTTCCAAACGTCTGTTGTACAAAGGTGACCTGCCGCTGATACTGGAGGTGGGATGCAGCCATCAGATCTAGTAACCTCGACAGCCTTCCCCTCCATTTAATCTGCCCATTCCATTGAAGGTTGTCCAAATTCGTGGCCATTTCATGGAAGTGAATGCCATAGTTTAAAGATATGCTATGTAAACAAACCGTTCCTTTTATCTGTCCTGAGTCATTCAACATTTGAATAACCTCAAGTTTTAGAATTATGGGAGAGAAAGAAAAATGTCTATTTGCTGACTCCACACCATGCATATTTTTGAACACCTCCTCCAAGTCTTCCCTTACTTGCCTTTTTTTCCAAGTGAAACAATCTCAGCTGTTGTGATTTTTTTTCTCCAACCTCATGATCATTTTAGTTGCCCCTTTCTGTGCTTTTTTTCAATTCTATGCTATCCTTTTTCAGCTGCTAGAACTAGAGCTGTACATAATTTTCTATGTGCAGTCACAACATATATTTGTGTAAGGGCAGTATGATATTGGCAGTTTTATTTTCAATGCTTTCCTTAATCATGCCTAACATGGGGTTTGCTTTTTTCATAGCAGCCACGTTCTAGGTCAACATTTTCATGAAGTTCTCTAGTACAACTCCAAGAACTCTTTCTTGGTCAGTCACTCCCATCTCAGATTCCAGTCTCCTCTGAAAGCAATACTGAATCACTGCATTCATAACTGAGGTTTAGAAAAGAAATGGCAGCACTGAAGCAGTAATACCAGTAAAGTTGCAGGGTGAAATAAATCTATAGTCCCCCTTCCATCCAGAACCCTAAAGCTGCTCCCCAGGCAGTGAACTTATGTGCATCTACATTCATGCTCAGGGCAAAGCGGTTGCGCATCTCTGCTTTATGACTACATTTTTGTACAATGCAGCACTATTAGAACCTGCTACAACCAATTATCCTGGCATTTCAATACTTAATTACCTTGGGCTTTCACTGGGTAAGAAAAAGCAGTTATCATTCCCTTACTATAGACACTCTATCAGTGACTGCCACAACATCAGCTTTGCCATCCCACAGAATATTCATTGGTTGGGGAAATTCCTGTCCTCAAGCTGAAGAAACTGCTTAGTACATTTCAGTAGCGACCCACTACCCAAAGTGCAAAAGAGTGAACTTATAGGTTCTCCCAGTATCTTGAATAGCACCAAGTCCTGTATCATGAGAAAGCACCAACACTCCCATAAGATGGGAAGCACACAGGTTTTAAGAAATAGGAAATATGGTAGGGCATGTCCTGGTCCCATAATGACTTGGGACCAGGACACCTGAAGGAATGCCTACTCCCACATGTTCCTACCCAACCACTAAGATTGGCTTCAGAGGTCCTTCTCAGGGAACTGTACCCCCAAAGAGGTGACAGGGGGCAAACAGGAGAAGGGCCTTCTCAGGGGTTGAGCCCCATTTATGGAACATGCTCCCCCAGAGAAGTACACCTGGCTCTCTCATTGGTATCTTTCCAGCACCAGGCAAAGACGTTTTTATTTTCTGGACATTTTAAGAACTGTTGAATGAGTATTTCATATTTTTATAAATCATTCTGGTATTTTAATTACTGCTGTGCCTGAGATAACATTACTGATTGTTGTAGGTGTCTGTTAGATGGCATTGTGTTTTTATTGTATGGCTTTTGTTGCATCAACTTTATGGTTTTTATTCATTTTGGATTGTACCCTGTCCAGAGAGCCCTGAAGGACTATGGGAGCAGTACAGAAATGTAATAAACCAACAAACAAAATAAAAAGAGTTCAGAGAGAGCCTTCAGAGTTAGAGCTAGATATTAGAGACAAAAATACTGCACATGTAGCAGTACTAGTTAACTGAGGTGTCATTATACGGGAGCACAGTGCAATGAGGCTGCCCATACCCCTGTGAACCTGGAGGATTATGGGCATCCTATGCAGGGTAGGAGCATGGAGGTCTCCTTCATCATCCTACCACCCTGCAAAGCAGCTATATAGCTGATTTTGAAGGTTTAGCTGTGACACTTCAGAAAAGAAGGATGCTGAAGTGTAGCCAACATATATTGTATCTTGGTGCCAGTGTCCTCCCTGCCACATGAAAAGTCCTTAAACTGCTTCCCCAAGGTTGCTTGAAGCAGCTAGCATGGTTCATTTCAAATTCAAAGTCCCAGCTCCAACATAGGATCTGGGACTCCAAAAAGTCCTGTGACCCTCCAGATGCCCTCTAGGGGCTTTAGAAAGGCTTTGCTGAACCAGAAAAAAAAAGTCTAATACACTATCTGTGCTGTTAAACTATCCTGGGAAAAATATTAACACTAATTACGGCCTCTTTTTTGTAGGGGAGAGCAATAGATATGTTCATTACAGGTAGCTATGTTTAACTACCATTGGAACTGCTGATATTGTTAAAAGTTTTAATTATTTTTGATCTAGTTTTATTGTTCTGTAGTAAAATCTTTTTAGATTTACTATTTTATTGCTATTGTATCTTATGGTCATTACATTTTATTTTTTCTTATTGCTAGCCTCTGAGAGGCCTGCTACAAGGCAGAAAGGTGAAATATAAAAACAGTTAAGAAAAATGAATCTGCTCTTTCATATACAAAAGAAAAACTTATACTAGCCTGAGTCAACTCTATTTAAAAGGTTATATAGGGGGGTTTTTAACCAACAGTATTCCTGCCTGTAGCCTGACACATTTCTTCATTGAAGAGAGCTTAATAGTATAATATCCTCTGAACAAGAATGTATTCTAAAGAAACTTCTATATCTAAATGTTCTACATATAACTTGATATTGCATCATTAAGTGCTTTTAAGTTAAGAATCTACTCTAGCATCCTATATTAGAATGCTGCATTTTCTTGTTAAGTGATCATAAGATGCTTTCGGTATATGTAGCTCATAAAGCATCTCAAAAGGAACTTTGTTAAATTAAAGCTGACAATTTGTCTTTGAACTCTCCATTTTGAAACAAGTCAGTTTTACTAGATTTTCCTGCCCTGGGGAAAGCAGCAAAACCAACTTAACGAACAAAGGCAGGAACTTCAACCCCACTTCAACCCAATGACCTGCTGAAAACAATGAGATTTAACCCTACTGGAACCCATATTCCTTAATTGTAGTGTTATAAATACATACATGCACCCTGTCTATGGAATGAGCTCCCCAAAAAGGTTCGCCTGGTGCCTACTCTTTCTTTTTGGTGCCAAATGAAAAGCTTTTTTATTTTTCAGGTATTTTCCAGTTACAGTTTTCATTTTATTATTGTATTATATATTGCTGGTATATCTATGTGCAAACTCGATTACAGTTGCTGTGGGTTTATTATGGGTTTATTTTTTTATTGGTTTTCTTGTTCTGTTGTTTTACTGTGATACAGTCCTTCTGTTCTTTTGTTTTTATTCTCTTTAAAATTTGTTAACCACCCAGAGAGCCTTTTGGCTATTGGGCAGTATAAAAATCACACACACACACACACACACACACACACACACACAGAGAGAGAGAGAGAGAGAGAGAGAGAGAGAGAGAGAGAGAGAGAGAGACAGAGAGAACCAAAGCTTTGTATAGAAGCAAAAATTAGCACAAGGTCCATTTAGTCCAGCATTCCATATACATGGTGGCAAATCAGCTGCCCACGGGATCACTCAAACAAGATGATGCAAGACTTCCACTTTGATAGATAGCAAGGGCTGAAATAATTTTACAAATGGGAAGTATTATGGGTTTGGATTCTCTTGCACCCAAACCTACCCCACCAACCTAAAAAAAAACTTAATAGCAAGTTTTGAAGAACAAACATGAAAAAATCTATCATAAATTGACCAAAAGTACTATTTTTAGGAAATCAATACTGAAAACAGTTTTCCCCATACCACTTTTGGCTACAAGCAATAAATTCTGTATTTTGTATTATGTTATACATTGGTAAGCTTTAACTGGCACTGTAAGTAAGCAACATGTCCTTTAAATAACTATATTAAGCTACCATAATTACATTTTTGCAAAATTATAGGGCAGAGTGTGGAAAAACTTTGGTCTCTAGATGTGGTAGTACTACAGTTCCCATCATGTGGGTGGGGCTGATGGGAGGTAAGAGTCCGGCAACATCTGAGAGTCATAGGTTCCTTCCTCCTGATATAAAGAATTTATACACACCTTCAACCATTTGATTATCTTGTAACTTCTCCTCCTCTGGCTTCAACGTTTCAGTTTCAGTTCCATTCTGTATCTCTTCAGGCTGCTTCTTTTCAGCACTGAAATCTGGAAGCCTTGGAGCTTGTGGTTTGGTTTTTCTTGCAGGATTCAGGAAAAAGCAATAGGCACATCTAAATGCTGCAAAAAGGTTTACACAAGCATATCCAGTAAGCTTCCTGAATACTGAGCCTCAGTATACACAGACTTCAAAGACTACACACTTGAGTATTAAAAATGTATTTTCCAATATCTGAAAAGTGAGAGTTCCCCATAATGAGCTTTTTACAATAATTTTCCTGAAGCCTTCAAGTGGGAGCAATGAAAGTGTGGAACTGCTTTTCTACAGCAAGAATATCTCCACTCCCATTTGAAACTGCTGCTGCATTATTTTCAAAAGTCTTTTGATTCTCCTGCTCAAAGCTTTATGCAAATGTTCCTCTTTTTATATTAATACACATTATATGAAAAGACTGGTTGGATAAATTACTTTAAGGCAGCATTTCTACTTTTTATATATAATTTGGGCCCTATTGGGGAACTTACTCCACTTCTCAACCACCAATTAGAGGTTTAACATGAGTGCCTTGATAACACACAAACACATACAATGCATTGAACACATTCAGTGCATTGGCCACTGTGCTGAATATTTTCACAAGGCCAAGAGCAAATGGGAGGACTTAACCAAGGAGAACAAAAAAGAGCAAGTGTCTGGGCTAATTGATTTCCTATTACTTGAAAACTGATTTTTGTTTGCCAAGAGGAGGCAAAACAAACATCTGGGTTCAATGAAGAGCTGTGTCTGTCTTAAGTTATTGTCAGCCATAAAACTAAAGAATAGCCTGCAGAGTTTGTTCCCACTCCATCTCTGATGTCTCCCACAGATTTTGCTGTTAAAGCACATTTTGTTCAAGTTCTGGTAAAGTGAGGACCTAGAAATAAAACCATTTAGGGTGCAATTCATAGTCAAGGACAGTCTTAAAAGCATACACTTCTGCACACATGTTTCCTGACCAGGACATGACTGAATTTTGAAACTCTTGAGAATACTTTCTAAATGTGTGCAACAAATGAACACCATAAAATAGTGAGTTTGCTAAATAAGCCAGAAACCAACGAAGAGCTAAATGCATGTAAGCCTATTTGTTTCAACAGGTTCAAGTACTCTTAATTCACATTTCAACACAGGGCTAAGTATTTCTTAATCAAAAGCAAGAAATAGTATTTTCACATTATGAAAATTCCAAAATGGGAGCAAAGAACTATTCAAACAGTAGGATTTGTTCTTACCAATATATTCAAACTCCTCCTTCAAAGCCATCCCATTATGTGAGAAACACTGTTGGCATATAAGAGCGTATCTAAAGAAGAAGACATCAGAAGTTGAAAGCACTGGCTTAGTGAGATGAGCCTGCTGGATTTTAAGAACCTCTTGGAGGCCCTTTTCTTGCTCCAACAATCACCGGAGGCATGTTTGGTGGGGATGCAGGAGACAGTCTTCTCCATGGCTGCTCCTAGGCTTTAGAATTCCCTGGCAAGTGAGGATGGCTTGCCTCCCTCTCTTTTTCACTTCCACCAATAGGCAAATACATTTGTCTTTAGGCAAGTCTTTGGCATACCAGCTGGTGTAGTAGTGAAGGAAATTTTATTTAGTGGCCTTTTTTTTGGGTCTAAATTTAGTTTGAAGCTAGGGTTGAATGCAGTTTGTGCTTTAGTTTCTACTTTATTACTGCTAGCTGCCTTGAGAGCCATGTTTGTTGAAAAGCCAAGACATAAATATAGTAATAAATTAATACATCTTAGTATTATTATCAATTAAATACATTCCAGCATTAATAAAATCATGCTTACTTCAGAATCACTTCAGCAGTCTTGCACACCAGTAAGAATGTACTACAATTCAGAGGGAGAATTAGCAAGCCCTTTACACATATTTGCCTTTGTGTGTAGTCTACATGCAAAGAGATCAAACCATTCATGTTGCACATGCTTTGTCAAAGCCCATAAGGCTGGCACAATGTCCAAGGAAGAGAAATTCTGACGCTTATAACTCCCATGTGCTGTTTAATCTCTGTGTGCTGTAAACAAGTATAGCCCTAACATTGATAAATACATCCATAAAAACATCACATTATTGCAAGTTTTAGATCATAATCAGAGTATTTATAATGATATGATGGCTCATCCACCAAAGACCCATGCTTTTAGCATCATTTTTAAGTACCATCAATCTGTACCAATCATTCAAGTTACAGCAGAAGAGGGCCTGCAACTCCATGCTGACTGGGGGATTCTGGGAGCTGTAGGACTCACTTCTGTCTAAACATGCACAGGACTACACTGTAAGGCTACATTCCTATGGTCACCTAACACTAAGACCTACTGAACTCAGTGGGGCTGACTTTTAAATATAAGACTGCAGTGTAAGAGCCTGTTCTCATATTGGGGCTGTTTGCATGTGATGACAAGAAACTGTGGGTTAACTAATCCACGATTTTCCACACCTTGTACCTGGTACTTTCTGCAGCCATTCTGAACATTCAAAGTGCAATTGGTTTGAACCAACTAGTAGTAGTTGTTAACTGTGGGTAGCAACCCTTGACTGGCCTGATCTCAATATGAACAGTCATTCCAAAAGGCTGTAGAAAGTGTCACAGTTACATGCAAACTAAGTCAGTACCTGCATTACTTGCTATAGATCCTGAAAGGGAAAATGTCATAGTATAATTTTTTTCAATCTGGAGTTGGGTGTCTGATATAACCCAAGTAGCAAACAGAAAAACTGCAAAGGTACCTTTAGAGGCAACTCAATGTTATCACTTTGGAATTATTTAGTATAATAAGTAACATTTAACCTGTTCTGTGGACCATCTCCAACTAAATATTCCACAATTCTATCTAATGCTCCCCTCTCTCGAGGAAGAATAGGTCTTGCCAACGGAGGTCCTGGAGGATGAAGACCTGAAAAACAAAAATGCCTATCAATCCCATCTATGTTAAGAGGGAATAAGGACATTTACTTTCAGTCAGTATGAAGGATACAAAATGCAATGATGTGAACCTAACATATTTCACTGTCTGGGGGCAACAAGCCATCCTGACAACCCATGGACGTTCCAGGAGCTGATGACCCCTCGATGGGTTGTCATGTCATCCAAATGTGGGAAAATGATCCGCTTATGGGAAATGGCAAGCATGCCCATACCAATATGATCCAATGTACTGATGCACAAGTGGTACCTTGGAACAACTGTCATGGGGTCTCACCCTTTTCCCTGTAGGAATTTATTTTTAAATTCCATTTTTCAGTCCTTGGCAGGTATGCAGGTAACTTGCTTAGCTAATATCCTGATAACTGTCTGCTGTCAAGGTGTGGCTGGAAACAAACATGAAGATTGACAGAGCAAGGCTGCACATAAAGCATCCTTTACGCACACTTGACCGCCCCACAGTCTGGTTGTTTGTAGATGTACATATGCAGGCCTGTCAATGACCACAATGTCAAATAAATGACAATTGAAATTGTGTACATTTGAGCCAGTGATGGTTGCTTCAAACTGTTGCTTAGGCATTGGTGGAGAAGCTGTCACCAGTGGCAGTACAGGGATTTGGGGAAAAAATGGTGACAGGAAACCAAGTCTGGAGCAGTGTGGGAAATGACACTTGATGCTACGGTGGTGGGAACAACTGTGAAGACTGCTTCCTCTCATACACTGGTCAGAGTACCCTGAGTAAAACTGCACTCAGGGAGTGCTGATGCTGGGAAGAAGTTATGCAGTTTTAACAGCAAATTTATGTTCTCCTTAATGAAGTATATTCCTTTGCTTTATAGATGCTGCAAATATAGATAACACACAGTTCCAAGTAGTCAAGTAGACCAAATTCTGTGATCCAGAATGTACAACTAGAATAAATAAAATTAGAGCTACAATGACACATTTAGATATTCTTCATGTAATGAGAAGTTGCTATAGGAAAGTACAGTAAAGGATAAGATATTTGAAAAAGAGAATGATTAGGATTAGGGATAGATTTTGTTCACATCTGTAAGACAGAACCTTGTTCTTTTAAAATTAGTTCCTTTAAAAATTATAATCTGCTAGAAAACTGAATGTCACAAATAATATACATAAATGTCTACACATTCTGCTTAGATTGAAGGACCACTCACTTATAAATGTAAATTGTTTGATTTCTGTAGCCCTGATGACCGTGTGAACCGAATCCACTGACAATCATGGTAAAGATACTATGGAGATTTTACCTCTGGCTTTAGCTCTGTGATGGCCCAGTTACACATGCAAGTCCATAGTGCACTCTGCATTCATCAAGGAACAACTCCCAACATCGCCCAGTCAGTGTGGGTGGAGCACTGATTTTGATCTGGAACCCAGATTTTCCAGGCTTCCAATTTGCATGGTGAGCCTCCTCAGACAGAGGAAATGCTCCTTTTTCAGAAAGACACCCTCAAAGCAACAGAAATACACAAAGAAACCTGGGCCTACTGAGTTGCCCCTTCTCACATGATTACTCAATTAAGCAGCACCTGTCCAGGGCTTCATTAAGCCTTTGTTTCTATTATTTATGTATTATTTGATTTATATCCTGTTTTTCTCTTACAAAGAACTCAAAAGGTTCACATCATTCTCCTCCTGCTGCTCTCAATATTAGCCTCACAACAATAATAGTTTCTATCCTAAGTATTAGACATATAAGTTGGATAGGTGTTTTCACATATCAGTAAAAATTTGCAACAATGATTTTCCAAATAAATATGTCTATTACTAGAATCACACCCATTTTTAATTGTTCTGAGAATGCACATTTTCAGCATTATTTCACCTGCCCATTTGGATGTAATCTCAGTTTGAGGCAGAAAAGGTAAATGCTGCCTTAAGGAAGTCTGAAGCACCAGATCATGTGCCACAACCATCTCCCCAAGTTCTTGGCACACTAACCAAGTCTCAAACCATGCATCTTATTCCTCATGCTGATATGGACAACAGTAATTAATATGAACATCAAAAGCAATCATTGTGGGCAGACTGGCCATTTCTGCAAAGCTTGGCAAACTCTCAACTACCTGCTGGTTATTAATTTTTAGACATATGGAAGCTCTGTGGTAATACATGTTAAATTGATTCTCCTCCACAAAGTATAATGTAATGAAAAAATGAATTATCTTTTCTAGTTTAAAGATAATTAAGTGCAGTGATATGTACTTCAACTGCTATTCTCATAAGAGATGAAGAAATTTGCACACAAAGAAACTTTATTTTTATATAGTATCATATTATTTATAATGTCTATTGTAAGTAAGTTATACTTGAAATATCACAGTAAGAACGACTAATTCCAGGACTGTCATGAAGGAGTTCTTAAGCAGTATGTTATAGAATTGAATTAAAAGAAAACACTTGCTTCCTTATTGTTACTCCATAGGGCCAAAATGGACACATTCACCAGTAAGACTTACCATGCATAATGAACTGCCTTTACTGGCGAGATACTGATTTTCAAAAATGGAGACTTAATCAATCTCTAACTCTTCCCTCAAATGTGGGAACTTCCCTTCCCTAAATGTTTATAGACCTCACCTTTGTCAGAAAGCAATGAACCCAACTGTACCATGTGGTCAGATGCTCAGTAAAAAACAATAGCCATAATCTAACCCCTGCAGGACACTGTCAACAGGGTATGAAAAGATTCCATAGCAATCATCACTTCTCCTGAGAGTCCCACTGTGCTGGACTCTCCAAACAAGCTGAGGTCCTCTCACACTTTATCTGCAAGCATCTTGTGGTCTGCAATTCCTGAGCTCTTGAGAGGACAAGCTATTGCTAGCAAGGATTCTCATTATGAATGGCATACCTGGGAAATGCATAAAGCTGGATATTTGCCACAAGCCACACAGGAAGGCCTCTGCTTATCATGTCTGGCTGCCTGTCCCTAGAACAGTAGTGGTGAGCCCAGCACACAGACAATATGTCAAGCAGAGAGATGTGGTCTGTTCCTATACGGCTCTCCACTACACCCTGCATAAGGTAGAGGTCATGCTTTTAGAGAAATCTAAACATTATCTAATGCTGGGGCAGCTGAAAAACCACTCCCCTTAATAATGAACTCAGTGGTAGATGATGGCAGAAATAGAGCTGGGTGGGGGGCAGAGGAAAATCACTCTAGTAATGAAAAAAGTTTATAAAGCTTATGGCCCACCAGATGTTTTGGACTTTAGTTTCCATCTGTTCCAGGCATGGCTGATGGGACTTGTAGTGCACAACTCCTGGAAAGTCACAGACTCTTCACTCATTTTTTTAAGTTTACCTAGCTATTCCAGCCAATGCAACTGGAGAAGTAAAAAAGTAAAATGTAGAAGATGCTAACTGGTGCTAAGCCCCATTTATTAGCAAGTTACTTGAGAAAGTTCTGCTCCCTAATAGGAAAAACCTCTTTGGTTATTGAGTATTTTATGTTTTAATCTTTGCGGTACAAACTTTTTTTTTAGTTATAATAAACATTTAAATAAATGTCACAATACAGGTTTAAAAATATGTCCGGGGCTCTGTAAGAAACATGAATGTATTCTGAAAGTGTTTTCTTATGTACCTGATTTATATAAGTCTAGAGCTTGCCTAAACCAAGAACATAAAAAGGTATGCTATATTGTTGACTACAGAATACTGCAAAGTTTTATTGCCATTTAAACAAAGAAGCCATAACAGTTAAATGAGCTCAGGCAATAGGTTTCAGTATCATAAGGTGCCAGCTGTAAAGAGTTATGGCTAATTGAATATGGAACTCCCGCTTAATCAGATAACTGCTCTTCTATTTCCAAACAAAATGCCATTTCCATACTGTCTGAAAATGGCCTGTTTTATTGGTAACCAGAGAAAACAATATAAACTGTAAACAACGTTAAGTGCTCTGTTTACCCATTCCAGGCATTGAAGTAGCACGGGATCCAGGATGTCTTGGCAAAATGTTTGGCTGTGAGGCTGATGTAGCAGTTCTCTCTGGAGGTCCACCAGGCGCCGAAATCTCTCTCTGTGGGCCAGGAGATGGTGGCACTGGACTTGACATTTTTGGAGATCCCTGCTTGGGTGTAACTGGGATAGGTGCAGACACATTCCCTCTCACCGGGGTCCGATGACGAAGTTCTGACAGAACATTCACAAGCTGGATTTAATGTAGAATGCTCAAGATCTAGCAATATTTTAGGCTAATCAAGATTAGAAACATCTGTACAAAAGCTATATGCTAACATTAGCAGAAGAACAAATTTGAGTCTACAAACAGACCTATTCTTGTATTTTAATCCTGTCTTGATTTTTACCATTTTGATATTTAAACTTATTCAGAAAAGGCTTTCACCTGAACAGCATTAATAAAGTGAATTTCTAACTGTATCTCTGAGCATTCTTTAGCTAGAAGTTAAACTACAGAAATCCTAATAATAAGCATTTTTTTATTTTTTTAAAAAGAATTATCTTTTAATTTTTAAAAAAGAATTTTATTTTAATATTTTTTTTAAAAAAGAATTATCACACAATATTCAAAATGTAATGGAAGACACAGCTATTTTCCTATGGTTTTCAGGCTACTGAGTGATTTATGCAAGTTTCATACAGTATTAATTCCTTTATATTACATTACAATTCAGTGAAGAATTAATTACCTTTCCAACAGAAAACATGTAAAGTAAGATTGTATGGCTACCACCCTTACTGGTTTATGACTAGACTTCTATTGGAAAGAGTAGGAACAGCAGCTCCCAAGGATTGGCGGAAAAAAAAAATATCAGCCACCTAGTTAGTAATGAGTTGTGCTCCATATGAGTGACTCAAGTCCAAAGGGAATTGGAGTCTCATTAAATCCTTCTCACATACATAAAGCTGCCTTCAATTCAGTGGGACTTTGCCATAGATAATGAGTACTGAAGTAGGCCTTAAGGTGCCATCAATATGCCGATGGCACTGTGCTGATCTGACCTTGATCCTGTCACTTTTGCTGGTCGTGACTGGGGAACAAATAAGAAAGACCCAATGGAATGAGAATCAAGAGAACATCAAGATAATGATCATTTGGCAGACTCTCACCTGAAGATCAGGTGCACACTTGCCACTCAGACATACGGATTCACAATCTTGGGGTCATAGTTACTGTGTCTAGATGCTCTATTCTGTAAAAACTGATTTACTACCTCAGCTGTGGACCTAGCTTTGTCATGCATGGTTCCATAAGCTTCAAGGCTTGACTACTATGATGCAGGTGGGACCATCTTTAAAGAAAATGTCACCAGTGCCGTGCTCAATAGCCCAGGGATCTGTGTATCCTTTATATCCTTCAGGGACCAACTGGAACTGCTGGGCTAACCTAAGCAACTTCTGCCCTGCACACCTTAGAAGCTGCTCCTTTTCACTGTCACAGTGTGGCCTCTAAGAGTATCATCCATGCAATCAAATGGCAAAAGCACACAGAGCACCTTTACCGATAATGTCCAGATGTTTTAGGCCACAACTCCCAGCGCTCCAAACACTGGCCAAGTGACTCAGACTAATGAGATATGAAGCCCAAAATATCTACAGGGTACCAGGCTGGAGAAGCACAAAGTAGGGGAACAGGGCTGATATAGCCTCCTATTCCTGAAGGCCTTTGATAGTCACAACAGCTCAGTCTCCCTTCTTTTGCCAGAGTTATACAGAAATCATACATATACAGAGTTATACAGAAATCATAGTTATCCGCAGCTATACAGAAATCATACATATAACATATGTACTCTGTTGGATACAAATAATAAGATGCCATTATATGCTCTATCCTTGGTCCTGTCCACCACCTAATATCTTCTATTATATGAGCTTGGTGTTTCATTTCAATCCTACAGCTCCATAATCTTCAGTATCTGAGCCCTTGTCAATTATGAATACATTTGGTCTTTTCAGTGTGCATCTGTCATTGTGTGTATTTTTATTCTTTATTGCTGTTCAGAATTTTCCTGACTTGTAATCCCTAGGGATAACTTTCCTTCTGATTCCTGAGGAATAACATTCATATGAAGTTCGAAGTGCCCCCACACCTTTGTGCTTGTGGTCCAATGATAGTGAGGAGAATAAAAGTAATTCCTTTTGTGGCAAAATCACTTTCTTTCTTTCCTGGCAAGTCCTCAAGCATGGCACAGCTAGAACTTACTTATTTAAAACTTTTGCATGCCGTCCTTTATATAAATATCTCAGGACGGCTAACAGCAATTTAAAAAACAATTTAAAACATCTAATAACATCCCATAACAGACTAAAACAGTAATACTATATGAAAAAATAAACAAACAGCAGATCTGAAACAGTTGCAAACTTCAGGCTACCCATCCCTCAAATAAAACATGCGTATGTGCACAAAAACCAACAAATCTTCAGATGTGTTGCAAAAGTGCTTTTTTCCTCTATAAATATAATCCTTTCATTTCCACATTGCCCTCAAATAGCTCTCCATAAGCCTCAACCTCACAAAATATAAAACAGAGTTAAACAGAAAGGCTGATCACAGCAACTAACAAAGAAAAATATAAAGGATTCGCCAGATTAGGAGAACTACTGTTGATAATAATCTACTATTCCAAAGCTACTACTGGGGGAAGGGGGGATAATGACAGATTTCACAGGCACATAGGGGTTCT